GTTTTTTGTTTTATAACAAACAATAATCGAGCTGATGCAGATGTGTTAGGCATCATAGGTAGATTAATCGTGGCATGCTTTCTGCAAACTAAATAACTTATAGATGCACGACGCAGTGCTTAAGCATGTCTGCATGGATGGTGACCCAAAAACTGTCTTATATAAAAGAGACAAGTGTAATTATTATTTACAGTCATAACTCTGTCAAAAAAATTAAATATAAATTCTCCAAACTTCGATTACTGAAGAAGTTGCAATAGTTCCAAGTTATCTCTAGTTTGGGTTCCTGGACATTATAATATAACAGAGAACAAGTGCGTGGAAGAGTTTGCATATTTCCTATACTCGCTATACATATTCCCTTCAAATGTAAACCGCTAACTTGGTATATAGAAGTAAATCATAAATATTTAGGTTCGACCTACCATGTAGAATCTCGTGTAGTACTTATTTATCGGTACTTGAAAAAGAGATACCGGAAAAGCAGTTTATTTTTGTCCAAGCTTAACCAAAACCAGGGTTATGTTTTGGGTTTTCCTTTTGTTAATATACTCGGCAATATTTCCAATATTTATATTGGTTACATACTTGTATTATTAATGTACCGGATGGCTCTAACATGCACATCTTTCTACCCATTACTATGAAGAATCGAAACTGCTTTCTAAGCTAATAAAAAAGGACTTGAACTCACTTCCATTTCACCTAACCATCAAATGATTACTACTGGATGATATGAACCGAAGACGCATTGTGCTGTTGTTTATAATCGAAAGAGTTTAAAGCAATCCTCAACTTTTAATAAAGCTTAAAATTATTCTTAAGAATATATTTTATAGGTCCTTAAATTTTTTAATCACGTAATCTTTGTTACGCAAACGTTGCACTGACTTAATCTTCCTTATAGCTGCATGAAAGAGAAGATTGAATCTTCTATCATAGTAATTAAACCGGAATTAATTACAGATGATGTCTACATGGGGTATTTCAATGAAATTTTTTCATTACTTTAGGAATGATTAGTACAATACCACAAAAAAGTAATTATGTACATTTGTAAACTATAAATAATATAATATATGTTGGAATAGATATTTAATTAAATACAAAAATTGAACTAAATATTGTGTAATTAGACTCATATTAAAAAACATTCAAATTGGGATAGGATAGGATAGGAATAAACGGGGTACTAGCTCCCAACGGAGCGGAGCACTGCGATTGATCTTTTGTGCTGCAACAGACCCTAACCGAAAAGGAGATATTTCGCTTTCCGAATGAAAGCCAAAATGTCGGCGGTTGAGGGCCTTCTAATTTCACTAGTTCTCGACCTAGTGAACTCCTTCTGGTCCAAATCAAGTTTGGGCAGTCACAGAGTCGACAATCTACGTCTTCGGACAGATCCATTTTGTGAAGTTGATAAAGCAATTCATTGTGAGCCGTTAAATATACCACCAGTAATCTCAACTCTGTTCTGTTGCAGAAGGATACTTTGCCATAACTGTAGGGATGAACAGGCTCTTTAGCCTGACGGTTACCTTCAAATTAGTTGTATAAAAATTAATATCTGAGCAATGTTCATCGTGAATAGATTAGTGTATAAGTAAAGGAGCAGTAATAATTATATTTAAATACAAAGATTGTATATTAAAAATTATTTTCAATATAAAAGTTATGTATAAATTTTGTATATTCTTGCAATATTATTTGTCTTTAAAATAATTAAAAGTTTTTATTAATTACAAATTATTTTCATTTAAAAACCGCTTCATGTAGTACGTTTTGAGTTTCAATTATAATTTAATTATAATAATAAATTATTTTTAGAATTAAAATATAATTAGTTTAATGTATTTATAAGACTGGTTCGTACTGAAGAACACGCAATGAAAATCTTTCAAGCGCTTAATACGCTTTTCATTTGAAGATAAATTATTGCGTGACTGAAATTGTTTTAAAAAGGCGAATAATCTTTAATTCAGTTAATCAGTGCATTAAAACCAAAGTTATATTAAAAAAAGAGAATAATGAGTTTAATATGTTTAAACAATTAGCAATTTTAATATTTCGAAGAAATAATTTTTTTTTGTGTTTATTTGATTTCTTTTTAAAAATTATTATTCACTTTCGGTTTTTATTTACTCACTCATAAGATTTAATTATTTTGATTTTCTTTTTTTATATCTGCAAAATTTATTACTACAAAAAATATTCATAATAAAATTAAGAGATTTAAAAAACGAGTCACGCTGAAGACCAACAAAATATGTTAAAGATTAAATATATATTATATTAAATTATTATGAAGCCTGAGCATATTTATCACATTGACTTGCAACTCTCGAAAAAAAAAGATAAAATAATTTGTCTGGTCAATGTTATATACATAGTACATAACATGATACTCAATACCTAAAACATAAAAAATTATGATTTATAATATGAAAAAGCTTTGATTGAAATAAAAATTAATTTACAATAATTTGTATGTTAAATGCATGTAATTAACATGACGGATTGATAAATGAAAAATTGATGGATTGGTTTCATCGATTAAAATATCTCAAATGAAATGTAAAAACATTGTTGAAGTGTATGGTTTTACATTATAAATTTATTATAAATTTTATTTCTGATAAGAAAAACAATTAACTTTATTCTACATTTACGTGTTTTCATATATCTTTGACACAATTTTCGCAAATACATTAGTATTTTTTTATCATACCTGTAAAAGAGTGAATATATCTTTTAATAGCCCTTTCTAAGTTTTTGGATATGTCAGAAACTATTCTACTAATCTTTTTTTTATTACAAATAATTAAATTTTGTCGACTATTATGTATTTTAATACATATGTTGATTGGTATTTTAATATAACCTTTTTCTGGTCTTTTTCCTTTTCCTGAAGACCACTTTAGATTAAAATCGAAATATTGAAAATAAAATAAAAATTAGTGTGAAATAATTTTAGTTGTTTTTATGAATTTTAATATATATAATAATATTTGAAAGTAATGAACCAATTAGCCTAATATAACATAATATAAGTAACTATAAATAAAGTAAATAAAAAAAAAGTTTCTATTTCACACGTAAGTATATATTACGTAAAGCTAATATTAATTGGGCTCGAAATAATATTCACAAGAGTCCTCTCTCAATTTAAAATATCAAAATTGCATCAGTTGGAACATAATTTTGATAAAGTCTTCCCTGGTGCAATATATATATTGTATTTCTTGAATTCTAACGACTAATATGGTGAGAAATCTGGTGATTACCAGAAAGCGTTACAATTATTGGATTTGCAGAAAATCTTGCGGTACCAGTGGTTGTCAAAACGACTAAAAAACTACAAGTGATATGCACTGATTCAACCAAAGTAATTTCTAAGTGAATGAATAAAGAAAATCTCGCGCTTGCAGCAGAAAAAATAGTTTCTTCTTATAAACACCAGAAAGGTGAAAGAAGTAAAAAATTTAGGACAGGAAGCTGTGAAATAACATCCCGATGCCCGCGATTTAACGAAGAACGACAAAGCATACAGACCGTTTCTGAAGAAATTATAACAGTGGGAAACCTCATCAGACAAATGTGCAGTTCAAACCAAAAATGGGAGGTAGTAAAAACGGAGACGGTACTGTGACGTAGTGAACGCATACGAGTAGCAGAAAGAGCTAACTTGCAGAGCGCAAACGAGGTAAGACGGACTGACACTAACAGAGACAACTAACTGACGATTTTAACCAGAAATGCTTAGATGACCTTTTGACGAAATACTTTATGGTAGTGCTAGGATGAGCTTTCCGTTTCGACAAAGGGAGAAATGCTTAGATGACCTTTTGACGAAATACTTTACGGTGGTGCCAGGATGAACTTTCCGTTCGGACGAAGGGAGTTTTTAGGTCGGTTGAAATCCCCCACTTACTAGGTTTTCGAGTTTTTCTCCCAATGAATCTCCCAACGGCAGTAACGCGTTGCTTTATTTAATAATTTCAAGTTTTTCAATGTCGTAGACCCGACAATTTTGTTTGTTTAACGATTCCTTATCACTCTTAATTATTCTTTGCCAAACATCATCCTGGGCTCCAGAATGTATTTTCTGGTGAGCACTGCTCCATAGCAAAAATTTCCTAAAATTGAAATTCCAAACACTCGCTATTATTAATCATTCTCATTTGCCTTGTCAAGGTTACTGTGTTGCCACATGAGTCAACCTATTGACCAATTCTGTATATAAAATTTTGATCAGGCATTTAATATTGTTGTTTTATAATTTCCTTAAAGAAATAAGGAGGTGAATTGTTAAGCATACTCAATTATACCCTACCCTCTTCATATAGGAAGAATTTAATAATAATAGTATGACATAAACACTACACGTTAATTACCTATCTAACATAACATAACATAACGTAGTATTATGTTTTCTGAGTTATCACATGTTTGAGCAGCAGGAAGATAAAATTTTGAAAAAAAAATAATATTACCAACTATTACCGATTAAAAAACTATTATTTGCATAGCTACATCTATGTTTATCACTATCATAAATTAATTTTGCAAAGTAAAATAATCGCGTAATAACATGAAGTTGACAACGCTGACATCAGATAAATAATTTCATAT